ATCGGACCAAGGCACATTTGTCAGGGTTAAAAGGGAATTCTGTACTTTTGATGCCTCTGGTTTGCCTCCTCTGTCATCCAGTGCCACTGTTTTGTTTATGTTTTTGTGAATCTTGTGCACTTCATCAGTACTAATTTCCATTCCAAAATCCTGAAAATGAAGTTCTTCCTCATAGCAGGAAGATTAGCAACAGTATAACTTATTATTTTTAGAGTACCCTTAAAAGGGAAAAGAATAAAGGAATATCAGAAAAAAACATATTGTTATGAAGTTTGTGTCCTAATACATTACTATTGCTTAACTTGAAATGTTAATGAAATTACTGGCAGGCAGTGTTTATCTGTTATTTTCACACAGTAGTATGCAACAGAAATTAATGAGATGGTTCAATACTGTTTTTAAATATTTTAAATATCTTCTTAAGAAACAGGTGTCAAATTATAAAATCAATCAGAAAAAGTATGTGTTTTCCCTGAAGATTTATTAATCTAAAAGCAAACACTTACGAGAACCTAATATGATTTCTCTGGCATTATAAAAAAAAAAATTAAGGTATTGTAGAAACTAAAAGATAAGTACTTCCAAATATGGAAATACTTAGCATTTTAAAGTGCTGTACAGCATGTGAATAACCTCTCATCTTTAAGTGCATCATTCTTTATCCACTAGGTTAACTCAAGCTGCTGCTGTATTGTCAGTGAGTCTACAAAGACAAGGGCAAGTACTACTGCTTCAGTTAAGACTTCGTACTTGGGTGGTTGTTGATAGTTCTGATGAAAGGGTTTGAGTTTTTTTCAGGTTTTTTGTTTGTTTGCATTTGTATTTAATATATGGGAAGTGTACTTTGCAACCTAACACAATCCTCCAGAGATAACTCTGAGTACCAAAGACATTATTTAAGAAGAAATTCTTCCTGGGAAAGTCTTCCCATAAAGTCAAAAGTTAACAATGACTTCCATGATGTCAACAGTTCATTCTCTTACTCTTAACCTCAGGTCTTGAAATACATCTTAACAAAAAAAGATTTAAAAAAAATTTAAAAAGGAAGCAAAACTCTGGAAAGCACCAACATTTATCTGACTTTCCCTTTAAGTAAAATGTAAGATATGAGAACAAGAGTCAAAGAGACTCATCAACATCAAATGGCATGGAAAAATATAGTTCCTTTCCATATTCCATTTCTAAAAAGAGCTGACAGCCAGGTTTGACAGCCAATGAAACCAATTCAGTCCTTGTTGATGGGAGTTTAATGCCCAAGGAAAAGCTCATGGCAAAGTATCCTTATCAAAAGGACCAGCATGCAGTTTGTAACAAATCTGAAACTTCGGATAGATGAAGGGTTCCCTACAAGATGTATGAGGTAATCCATAAGGAGATTCAAGAGAGGATAGTTATGGAAGGTAAGTCCACAGGCCTCACTCCCAGAAAACAAATCACCTGTCACTCTTGTACCTGGCCCAAGCAGCACCTGCATAGCTGGAGACAAGGGGCTGGGGGTTCGTGCGACACTCAAATGTGAACAAATGAGGACAGACACCTATTTTCTCCTCACCATTGGTAAATCCTATTATCTTTTTGTTCCACTGCCACAACTTACTTCCCAGAAGAGCCAATTTCAGAAATTTAAACAGCCTCTGTGGTTTCCTATAAAAACTCAAATAATTGGCAAAGTCAATTCCCTTTAGCCAGAAGGGGTTTTTTTGGAACATATTCAGGAGAGGGGAGAATGGGATTTTCCCATGCTGTCAAAATATTTTGATGTCTTCCAGATTAAAATAGGTCAAATTTTTAGTTAGCAGCAACATTCTATTTTCAGTTGCAAAATTTGCCTTCGAAAGCTTCTTGAAACGTAAATACTCTCTACTGTCCAGCTCTGTCCTCCTGCAGCTTATGGGATGACACTGGACTCATCTTGCTCGTTATGGCCTCCAGCAGCCTTTATGTGAGCCAAAAAACAGCAGCAAGCTGTCATTTCTCACAACACTCACACATGGCCACACACTGCAGAGATTTATCTAGCAAGAGATTATTCTGATTGCAAGCTGGGGTAGGCAGGAAAACTGGGATCATCTGCTGTTAATATTAGAGGTATAGTCACAAAAATGATAATTCCTGTTTTCAGGTACTTTTTTATTAATGAATGAGTTTAATCACTAGATCAACCCTGGTTATTTTGATTGTTTTTTTATTGATAGCCTAAAGTACAACTATGTAGCTGGATACATGAATACTACCCCTACCTGGAAAGAATATCAGCTTTCATGCAGCAGCTGAACCTAACTGCAGTATATTTTTATTGTATGGAGATGAAATACTTTAAAATATAATTATAGGCAGCTTCTAGTGTAACAAAACTGCTCTAAGGAAGAACTCAACTTATTATAATAATGGCCAGTCTTCGCGAGCGAAGATCCGGGGAAGGTCTTTCCACCTTCCAGCCTGCGCATTGGATTTTTTAGGTGAGACACAGTGTGCGCGGAACTGAGCCCACCCTGCAATCCTAAGGTTCAACTGCCGGGGCCAAGCGAGCTTGGACGGTGGCAGCGAGGTCCTTAGGACGTAGGTGGGTTGCCTTTAAGGGCTAACGAGCCCCACCTGCCCGGGAGTGGCCCTGACCGGGAATCGAACCCGGGTCTCCGCGGTGATAGCGCGGCGCCTTTACCACTAGACCACCAGGGGCTGCACTCAACTTATTACATGCATACTATCAGTGAAGACCTATGCAACAGGATACATTAGGAGTGTGCTTAAAGATTAAATCCAACACAGCCAGATAGATCTGGAAGTCCATAGACAAAAGTTTGAAGACTGACCCAGTAATGTAATCTAGCACATTAAAAGGTGCCATCAGAAAGAAAAGCCTCCTAAGAGGATAACATTAATCTCTACATCAGCCCAACAGTGTGTGGGCCTTGTCCTACACAGCTGCTCAAGGGAGAAAGGGAGCAGGAAGGCTTCCTCTTTCACCTCTGCCCAGCAGAGAAACTAATCAAAACTGCTGTCCTCACACTTGACAGGGTAACTTGCATCAGAACTTGCCCAGAAAAGCATGACAGCAACATACACTAAAAAAACCCTTCTAGCTTCTTGAATTAATATTGGAATTTATTAACATAACAGGCTGTGGAAACAGACACCAGCCATAGCACTACCTATGGGAAGTAGGGGCTAGATTACAGCAGATGAGAAAACGGTTCCGCTTCACAGAACAAAAATAATGAATTAGGGAAACCAGGCTGCACCTTTCAAATGGATTACACCACGTGTGCCCAGCCTGCCATGCCCTGAACAACCCATGAAGAGGCAATTCTCTTCCTCCATACTCTTATGAGACATTATACTGTCCATATACCGAGGCTTAATGAAAATTGGTGTCCAAAGACTGCTTGAGGCTAAAGCTTGCAGTGATGCAGCTTCACCAAGCACAAACAGAGCAGGCCACAAGACTCTTCCTGCCACAGGCACAGCTATAGCCCAAAAGGCTGCTCTGAATTATGCCTTCTGGAGCACTTGCTCAAGTAGTGGGTCTCTCCTGTGTCCCCCTGTCCTGGGGATATCAGTCTACAGCTCAAGTCTAGCCCACCAGAGATATGCTAATGTTGCTAAAACTGACTGCTCCCCAATGAAACTTTTCCACTCACAAGCATATTGTGTGCTTAAATGCCATGAAAAAATATAAATTGTTCTCCTCAAACCCCAGCAGGTTCCTTAATGACTAGGCTCCACTAATTAGTAACAGCTGTTAATGAAGTGAGCAGGTACAAACCTAACCTCTTCAATTAATGCATGAGAGCCTTAGACTGAAGTAATATTCAAAGGAAAGCTATTAAGTAAAAAAACAAAGTAAAACAACATTCAATGGTCAATATTTTTGTTGCTGAGATCACATCATTTCTTCAAATTCCAGATATATCAGTCTCTATCAAGTGTAGAACTTATTTATACTAAAACCTTACAATTTCTATACAGCTTAGGCAAACTGAAAGTCTACCATTACTTAAAAAAAAACTAATGGATCCCTTCTTAACAAATGAGTAAGTCTAGATATAAGATGCATACAAGAATCTAAATATGGAACAACACTGTTAATAGTTGATGGACTGTATAATTACACATTTGGAAAAATTATACTTTATAACATAAGTTGTTTGGAAAGCTTGATTTGACAGAGGAAAACTTCTATGTACCAGCAGATCATAGTAAAAATCAGAGTATGGTCACTATTTTCAGTCACATTCTACTAATTTCCTTTGCTGCTAAATTGTACTTTTATTTGTTTCAGCACTGTTGTAAGCTCAGTTTGCAATTACAGAAACTTTCTTCCTACTTGTTTCATATGTTGGTTGACAATTAAGTCCACAGACCGGCCCTCCCTCCAAAAAAAAAAAAAAAAAAAAAAAAAAAAAAAAAAGACCTCCTCACAGGAACTGAAAAACTGAAGAGGTCCCCATTTTCCCAAATATGATGTGACAGTATTCCAAATACTATAGTCATCTTAATATACCTGTTTTCATTTTCTATAGCATTGTTGAAAATGTAAAATTTCTTGATTATTTACAGAGAATCACTGCACAAGGAGATCTATAGCTACCTTGAAATGTCCTTCTCAAAGCTGATATTAAATTATTTTTCCTCGTATTTTCCACTAGTAAGGAACTGTTAGAAGTCTCCTGGTTGTCGAGTTCCCAGTGATGAAAGAAAACTAAATCATAGATTGCCATTAATGTCATCCTAAGTAGTAGGTTTTTCCATCTGAAATGTTAAATTGCCAATTAAAAGAAAAATATTCAAAGGAATACTCAATACAAACAGTTTGCCTTTAACTATATTGTAAACCTGATCCACGGAAATGAAGAGCAAAATGTTCTTAAATATAAAATATTATGGAAACCAGTCTGTTATTAAAGGTGGCTTAAAAGGAGGAAAAAGGAAGTGAAATGCATTTACTAAGTTACTTCTGAAATGTTTGCCTAACCTTAACTGTCATCTTTTTACTTCAGGTAGAACTGTGCAGATACCTGATTAGAGCTCGTTAGAGATCCTTTTGGGACTTCTCTGTGATGAAGTGGCAGGTAGGGAGATATATAACTCTGAGACACTAATCATATATTTGCATATTGGCCTTAAGAATCCCTGTTTCCAAATGCTTTATCCCAAGTAGTGTTATTTTTAAGCTAATAATCACTTAAGTAATTGTAAAAACATCATGAGTTATTTAGCTAAATGTATTAAAACAGAAGTCTAAGATTACCCACTAGAGGGATTTTTTATATTACAGGGTATACCCAGAAATGCTGAAATATAGAAGAAAAACAAAACAAGGAACAGAATCATCTATATGTAACAATTTTGAATGCTGAGGCAGCTTTGGGAAAAACATGCAACTCCAAAGAGCATCACAGCCATGAAAAAGAAAGCCAATAAAACCCCAAGCAGACGGCCTTCTTTCATCTTCCTTTGGAAATAAACATTTATTTCCTCTCCACAATTTTCTTTTTCTGTGTGTAGGTATGCCCAGAGATTTGCACATGCTCATGATCCAAAATCTGTATAAGCCAGTGGAAAAACCCCATTCATATGACTGACTTTGAGATCATTGCACTGAGATGCACATTCATAATTGTTGTCTCTATTTCTCTTCTTCGGCCATCACCCATTGTGAAGCTGTAATTATGTCAGTACAATCATGCTTTATACCACGATAACTTATTCCCCTTTCCACTACAGAATACATTCCCTTCCCTCCTTGAGTATTCTCCCTATTAAAGGATCTATAGAACAGGGGTCTCTTTTTCATGTCCAAATAAACCTCAGACCAACTACTGGACATTGCAGACTCAAGGCCTGAATGGTCATGTAAGATTGGGAAGAACTCTTTTAGTTTCAGAGAATGTGTTGAGCACAAGCTGGGTGGTGACAGAGGAAGAGAATTGCTGAAACTTCGGGATGCCAGCCATGCAATCCAAGAAGTTGTCAAGCATCTGCTGAATAGAGCATACAGAAAGTGGATAGAAGCTGGTCTGGAATCTATTCTAAGACCTAAACATGAAGGTAAAAACCATCCAAGCAGCTGTTGCAGAAGGCGGTGGCTTATTTCTGCCTTGATTTTTAATAGAATTGTGGACTCCACTGTTTGTTTTAAACAAGAGATGGCAACAATATACTTCTGAAATAGAAGCTTTCATAGTTTTTTACTTTATTCTTATTCTTTCCTTATTCCATGCAAATTTCTTTCCAGTTGATATCTTCAGAGTTAAAAGAGTTCTTGTGGCACAAATTCCACATACAATAAGATCACTGAAATACATACAGAAATAGCTTTTACAGGAAAAAAAAATTATTTTCCTTCAATACTTTGCTGTTCAGCAAGAAGATCTGACTAGAAAAGGTGGGGTTTTTTTCTCCAAATCTCAACTTTATCAACTTTAACAAAAAACTCTCTGACAACAGGACAAAAAACACAACCTATTTTGTGCAATTTACTAGCAGCTGAGTTTTTGGTCAACAGAAGCACTTCTGAATGTTTCACCAGCATAATGGGCATTTTTAGGTTGTAGCGAAGTCTTGAAGTCCTACTTTTCTTCTGGTCTTTAGGCTAAGTCATAAAAGTTTGAGGCTCCGCCAGACATCTTCCAGCACATCTACCTCACGTGGTTTAACATTATCACCCTCCATTGTCTCCCCCATCCCTCTGCAAAACGTTACTGACCCTGGAGAGATTTTTCCACGCAAAAAATGCTTTCCCAACCATAAGCCAAGTAGCCACCTTGGCCACTTTCAAAAACGGTACAATGTGGTTGTCTTTGCTAAAAAAATATGGACTATTTTGAGTTGAGGATGAGAAATTTAGCCAAAAGCTAAGTGTTCTTTTCTTAGTTTTCACATAAATATTTTTAGTAATGCAAGAACTGATACAGCTTCACTCTTTCTAAGTAACTCCACTTGGACAACAGTAAGAACCACAGGCAGTATGACAGGTCAGGTAGACTGCCAAGATGAGCATTCAGGACTTTGGCCTGTTATTCCAGCTGTAACTGTGATTTTCAAATGACCTGAAGCATTGCCATTGCTAATTAATACAGTTGGGGGGCAGGAATGCTTGAGTGATCCTGGTGCCTTTAGAGGAAACAGAGGGAAGAAAAAAAATCAACAAATCCCACAGAATACCCGCAAGCCATGCCCAAACAAACACCCAGCTGAGTGAAATAAAAACCTGTAAATCCCCAGGAATAATACAAGGTCAAGTTTCATGTTCTTTCCCAGTGGTGCATCAAACTAGCCAAATCTAGATTTCATTCTTAAGTAAAAAGTAGACAAGTATACTTTTAACTTGAGTAGAATTTGAGTATAAGGACAGAAAGAAACTCTAGGGACTCATTATTTCCTGAAGGGAGCTGATGCTTCCTAGTTTGCTCAGCACCTAAACTTCAAATCATGCCCCTCATATTACTACTTGATACCAGTACACAGTAACACTTGGTAACAAGACTGATGGCTAGAAAGGAGGATTTCCAATACAAGCACCACATTGACATTGCAGGTTTTACTTACTACCTTCAAGTTACAAACATGTAAAAGAGGAAGGGAAGATTATTACATTGAAAGCTAAAAAACAATCAATACAACAAAACTATACCTCTGGAGCATGCTGGTTTTGATTGGAGAAGATTTAATTGTCTTCACAATGGCTAGTAAACTTTTTACATGTATCAAAAGGAAGACAGCTTACAGGCATTTGGAATTTTCTTCTATTTTGTTTAAAACACTTTACTCAAGAAGCAATGTCCATGTGCCCACTAGTTTTAGATGTATTAGGGTTTATTGCAAGACTAGAAGGACAAGCTCCACAAGTTGCATGTTCCTGGTTCTACTACATCTCTAGGAACTGGTGTTGCTCAATTAGACTAAAAAGGATACTGTTGGTATTTCAAATGAGGTGAGCAATACACTTGTCTATGCCATAATTTTTAGTTTGTCCATCATTCTCCCACCCTCCTTTGTTTTTTTAACCTCTGCATTAACTCTGTTGCCAGGCACTTCAGAGATTACAGCAGATACTGAAATTGGAAAATCTACTCATTCTTTGCAGCTCGGTGTGCAAGCTACATAAGAACATAAATAGTTTCTCTAAAGTCACTATAGCACCACAAATACTCATGTTGTAAATATTGCTGTTTGATACCAATGGCTTGAGTCTCAAGTGGGTCCAAGTGGTTAGACAGTTAACAGAATTTAGCACCAAAATATATCAATAAGAAAGATTAAGAGGGCAAGGCTTCTTTAGGTTTCTTTTCATCTTTTCCTTCCTGCACACAAATATAAACACAATCCATTTACATATATGCTTCTGTGTAAGTATAATCCATAAATCATTGTATATATGCATTTGAAATGAAATATTGACATTGACTTGTTTACTTTTTAAATTTCATCTGCGCTGAGTTTGCAGATATAACAAGAGTCAATCACATTCAGAACTTTAGCATAAAAGAACCCCAAAAGAATAATTTAAATCTGTCTTGAGTGAGATCATTTAATGAATCTTTTAGATGTTAAGAGGTTTTATACGCTTTAAAAAAGAAATCATTTCCCAAATGCAATGCCATGATATTGCCTCTGAGAGCTAAGAGATAAAGTGATACACATATGCTCAACACATGGATATGAACGAAGTGGTTACCTTGGCAACAACAACCGTGTAAAAGCTTCCTTCTACTAAATTAGAATAGTGAGTATTGGAGAATTTTTTTTTTCCCAGTCAGATCTTGAAAATAAGTTATTATATTTAATTTGTAGATTTTTCAGACCCTTAGACTTTCTGCAGTTAAACAACACTTACTTTGTCCTATGTACCTCCAGGTTCTAATATATAGAACTTCTGTAGTATTTGGTTTATATTGATTTCACAATTCAATACATCTTTTTCTTATTCAAATAAAGCTACAGATATATTTGAACAAACTGAGTTTGCCACCATAGTCTGAAACTGTACATATTCCACATACTGCAAACATATACAAAACAAACAATACTTCACACTAGTTTAACAAATAGCTGTCTAACATAAAGCTACATGCTAGAGCCTGTTATTGAGGAAATTATATTTCCAGCCATTACAAATAGCATTTTTGAAGGGGTCCTAGTGAATCAAGAAGCACAGTTTCAATTCAAGGATTTCCATGTTCCTAAAAGGCTTTTCTGTCTGCAAAAATCCTGTGTCATAGATAACTAAAGAAGTATACCTGTGACCATTTCCCCAGGACATTCTTCAAGACTAGAAAACATGTCATGTTTTCTTAGAAGAGTCCAAAGAACCCTCTTACTGCATGTGCTACAAGCCACACAAAGTATTTCCAAAAAAACTGAAAACATTTATGATTGGTAACAAAAGACCAGAAGTCACAGCTCAGCATGTGAGAGAAGGAGAGCAAGAAACCTCAAAGACATGGTGGATACTTGATCAGTCACCACTCCCAGTTTTTGCACCAAGCATACAGGCAAAGACAACAAATTCCTATTCATACAATTACATCTTCCTGGGGTCATGACGGTTTTCTAGTGCCCAGAGCAGATTGAGAATTTACAATTCATCTTCCAAATGCAAAGTACACATAGCAATTTATATTATGTTCTGTCTTATAATGGTGTAAATTACTTATGATGATCTTACTTTTATTCAGAGTGGCCAGAGACTAGAATAATCTAACATTATTTAGTTATTCATTCAGGAATACATTATAACAGTAAATTAGTACATCCATTAAGGCTAGCCCAACCACTTCTTGGACAACAAGACAGGAGGGTTATGCCATTTACTTCGGTAAATGTACATTTTTACTTTTTTTTTTTATATTATAATTTGTGTTCATTATATTCTAAAACTTTCCATGTGCCTCAGGAAAGAAATACTTTCTGAATACTAGTCTAATATGCTAATTACTATCAACTATTAATCACTTAGGTTAAAATTATGGTTACAAAGTCATGAACCAGGCAAATCTCAGGTATGTGAATTTGCAAATGTCCTACCATAACTACAAAAGTTTATTATGTCCAGCATGTCCAGTTACAACTTACCCTCAGAGTTACATCAAAAAAATTAGTCTAGTGAAGAAAACTGGTAATTACAATTAAAAATCTCTATCCCACCTTCAGTTCCATACACAGCTGCAACCCAGGAACAGCAGTAGACAGGACTAGAAATCTTTCCGGAGCTTACAGAGGTACATGACAATTGTTTGGACAAAAAAGGTACAGCATGCATTTGCACCCACACAAGCAAAATGCTCAAGCTGTGCTCCATTCTCTTCCATAAGAGAAGATCT